TGCCCATCGAAAGCCAGCTGCCTAAAAAATGATGATAAAACCACACTGTGTCCAAGGAAAGGAGTCCTTGTGGTGCAGGGGTTAAGCTTTGGGTTGCTCACTGCAAGGTGGGTGGTTCAAACCTACCAGCTGCTCAACAGGAGAAAGATGAGGCTGTCTGGTCCCATAAAGATTTAGTCTTGGAAACCCTAAGGAACAGAAAAGTTCTACTCTGTCCTATAGGGTCACTGCTGTGGTTGAAGGTTGTGGAATCAGTTCTGACTCACAGCAGCCCTGTATAGGGTTTCTGAGAAGAGGCTGGTGGGTTTGAACTGCTGACCTTGTGGTTCACAGTCCAATGCTGATCCTAGGGTCACTATAGAGTTCACTATGAGTCGTAATGAACTCTGTGTCAGTGGGTTTGGATTTTTGGTTTTGGTGTCCAAGGACTAAATTTCACTGTGAGAGGCTGTGGCCTGCCTTCTGCCAACCTCTGATCTGTGAACTGATCTAACTGAATAAACCAGCTGTTGCTAAGCCTTGACTCAAGTTTTCTTTTGTCCTTAGTAATTATTATTGTTGTTGTTAAGTGCCATCGAGTCAGTTCTGACCCATAACGACCATGTATAGGGTTTCTGAAGAACAGCTGGTGAGCTTGAACCACCGACCTTGTGGTTCAAACTGACTTGGCAGTCCTGCACATTAACCCTCAGTGCCACACCAGGACTCCAAAAGACTGAGATCTGGTTTTGTGCATGGTGGTGGTGATGGTAGTGGTTATGTACCTTGGAGTTGGTTCCGACTTACAGCGACCCTGTATAGGGTTTCCTAGCCTGTGAATCTTTACCTTATCTTTCTCCTGTGTAACAGCTGGTTGTTTCGAACTTCTGACTGTGAGGTTAGCAGCCCAATTCATAACCACTATGCTACCAGAGCTCCTGTTCCTTAGTAATAGTTGCCATTGTTGTTTTTGTTAATTGCCATAGAGTCAGTTCTAACCCAGTGTAGGGTTTCTAAGGAGCAGCTGGTGCATTTGAACTATTGACCTTGCATTTAGCAGTCCAGTGCTTACCCTTCAGTGCCACACCAACTCCAATAGTTGCCATTGGTGGTGCAAAACTTAATGAACTTGGATGTTAACTGAAAGTTTGGAGGTTGGAGTCCACCAGGGGCACCTTGGAAGCAAGGTCCCAAAACTTGACCAGTGAAAACCCTACAGGGCACAGTTCTCCTCAGACAAACGACTCAATGGCGTCTAGTTGATTGGTTGAATGATGGTTACTGGAACATCGACCTACTAACCCAGGGCTTACTGAACTTCAACTACGGCATTAGAAGCATCTGGAAGCCTTGGGAAAACACAGCTTCCTGCGGCCCATCCCCAGGGTTTCTGAGAGAACAGGCCTGCAGAAGTAAGGAATCGCCATCCTAATCATTGATGAGGTGAGGATATAGCCAGTCTACAGAGCCCACTATGAGCAGCACTGGGTTGGGATATACTAACCTCATGGGCACTACCATCTGCTGAGCCCTTTCAGTGTGCTGAGCACTGAGCTAAGCACTTATGTGATGGCCCATTTCACAGATAAAATGCAGAGAGGTTAAATGATTGATCCAAGCTCTCAAAAGTAGCAAGCAGTAGAACTGGCTTCAAACCCATGTCTTCCTGCGCTGCTACCTATAACTATCATCAATGATCACTAGGGATGGCCTCATCCTTCCACAATGACCTTGAGATGCTTGTAGCTCCCTCTCCAAGTGGTCTGCCTTCCTCCAGTCTCCCCTTCTCTGATTCAGCCCGCTGCTAAGGTGACATTCTTAAAGCAACCTTTGATAGTTCATTTGCACACTTCCTGGATGGTGTTGCTTGGGCTCCAGCTGTATGTACAGTATAGGACAGGTACACAAGGGGAGACAGGTAAAGCAAACTAGCTCCAGGATCCCAGAATCTATACTAACAGAGTATATATCAGCACTGAGCTGCTAACCACAAAGTCGGTGGTTCAAACCCACCAACTGCTCCTCAGAAACCCTATAAGGGTCACTATGAGTCAGAACTGACTCCACAGCGCTTAACAACATGACTACACTGTGCCACAATGAGAGGATAGTCATCCTTGGACCAAGGTCAATGCTAACAAAAGCCAAATGTGGGAAACTCGTAGGGAAGGACGTGGTGGATAGCAAGGAGGGCATTTTGATAGAAGCCCTGGATGCACAAAAGGTGATGTTATGTTAAAGTGCCATCGAGATGGTTCCGACCCATAGTGACCCTGTATAGGGTTTCTAAGGAGCAGCTGGTGAGCTTGAACCACCAACCTTACAGTTCAAACGACTTTGCAGTCCAGCGCATTCACCCACAGCGCCAAACCAGGACTTCATAAAAGATGGTTGTTGTTTAGTGCAGTTCTAGCCTATAGCAACCTCATATAGGGTTTCTAGGAAGCAACTGGTGAGCTTGAACCGCTGAGCTTGTAGTTCAAATGGCTTTGTAATCTGGCACATTAACCCACACCACCACACCAGGACTCCTTAAAAGGTGATTTGTTGTTAAGCGCCATCGAGTCAGTTCCAAGCCATTGCGACCCTGTATAGGGTTTCCGAGGAGCAGCTGGTGACCTTGTGGCTCAAACTACTTTGCAGTCCAGAGCATTAACCCACAGCACCATACCAGGGCTCCTAAAAGGTTGTTGTTGTTGAGTACCCTGGAGTTGGCTCCAACTCACAGTGACCCTGTACAGGGTTTCCAAGGCTGCAAATCTTTACGAGAGCATAAAGCCTCATCTTTCTCCCGTGGAACGGCTGGTAGTTTCAAACTGCCGACCTTGAGGTTAGCGCCCAATTCGTAACCACTATGCTAAAAGAGCTAATACTGAATGGGTAGATGGAGGCCAGTTTAGAGGGGTCCTTGAAGGAGTTTGTACTGCACTAGTGAGCAGTGGAGAACCACTGAATGCTTTTGTACAGGAAGAATATGGAATGACAGTGTGTTTTCGTGGTTATGAGCATATACTTTGCAACTGTACTGCCTGGATTCAAATCCCAGCTTTGTCCCTTATTAGCTGTATAATCTGGGACAAGTTCCCTTACCTCTCTGAGTCTCAGTTCCCAATCTGAAAAATGGGGATAATAGTAGAGTCTAACTCGTGGAAGTATTATGAGGACTAAAGGGGTAATTGCCTTGGCATAGAATCTGGCCTTTAAAGTTATGAAAAAGTTCACTTTTATTATTACAATCTGAGCTTTGTTACTTAAAAATGATTTTTCTGTCACCAGGTGGGTTTAGATGGAACAGAGAAAACAGGAAGCTACAACATCAGCCTTGCCTGACCTCGCCAAATAGCAGTGAGATTGGACAGGAGGAAGGCTCAAGATCATTTGAGAGACAGGAGTGGAGGGTCTGTCAGATGTTTGGATTGTATGGAGGAAGGTGGGTGATCCAAGAGAAAGAGAGGCCTTGAGTCCAAGGGATCAGACTTCGAGCAGGGCAGGGGAGATAAGGCGGCAGGACCTGCAGGGCTCCTGAGGGAAGAGACCTCCACCAGGAAGCTGTCAATGTTAGATGCTTTTGGCTACTCACAATAGTGAAAGAGAGGGAAAAGGAAGGAGGGGAGAAAAAGCCAAGAACAATTTCCAGTGTACCTCTGGTGTCAAACCTAAATTTAAGCCCTGCTCTGCCCTAACTACCTGTGTGACCTTGGGTAGGTACTAAAACTCTTTGAGCTCAATAACTTAATCTGTAAACTGAAGACAATAATGTTGTTAGCTGCCATTGAGCCAGCAGACTAGGAATAAAGGCCTGGTGATGCATGGATCACAACAGAGTCTTGTCCAATAGAGTGCTGGGAGATGAGCCCACTAGGCTGGAAGACACTCAGAACACACAGTAGCCAGCATACCAATGACCATGAAGATGGCACAACACCAGGCAACATTGTGTTCGGTTGTATGTGGGGTCACATGACTTGGAGCCAACTTGATGGCAACACAACAAAGGAATTCTCATGTTGAGATTTTAATAACTGGCCTCTCTTAAAAGTCTGCGATTCAGGTTGGCCTATGTTTGCAGAGGGAGACAAAAACAGTCAGCAGTATCATAATATGCAGCATTATAAAATCATATACTTCAATCAATTGGAGGTAGGCGAGAGAGCCAAAAGCTTAGAAGCGGGAGGAGCATTTGCCTGGTGGAGCCAAGCCCAGACACAGTTGTTTGGATTTTTCAGACAAAGGCTCACTCTGCTTACCCACAGCTCCTGCAGATAACAATAATGCTGGAGGACTCTGGGGATCTATAAATAGTAACTGTTACTTGAGAACCAGCAGAGCCCTGCCTGCACTAACAGCCACTGGAGGACGCTTGCTGAGCAGGTTTTTCTCAGCAGATTACCTCACCCAAACCAGCTCCCGAGAGTAACCATCATCCTCCATACAATTACGTAACAGCCAACAGAAATCCAGCCCAGTTCCCTAGTAGTACCTGAGATTTGAGATCTGGCAGATCAACCTCCACGGGCTTGTTAAGAAACAATTGTGCTTTTTGTCCTGATACACACAACAGCATGCACAATCCCTGAAAATAGTCTGCTGAATAAAATAAGTCAGGTACAAAAGGAAAATATTGCAGCATCCCATTTAGATGACAAATCTAGAACATGTCAATGCATAGAGATGTATTAGTGTGTTTACCAGGGGCTGAGTGGGGATGGGTGGGGACCTGTGGCTTAAGGATCAACTGAGTTTCTGTTGGGGGTGATGAGAAACCTTGGTAAATGGATAGTAGTGATGGTTCACAGTATGGTGAATGTAATTAATGTCCTTGACTCTTTCAGGGCTGTTACAGCCATGCTGGACCAGACTCTGAGACTGAGTGCAATGTTTGAACAATTGTGAATACAAAATGCTTGAGGAAAGAAATAAAGATGGTCTGACCCTACAGAAGTTAGGAAGGAATACTTTTCAATGGTTGTCAACTTAACGGATCCTTGGCTTTTGGTCCATCTTAGAGCTGGTTTTTCGACATGCCTGGTGTTGTTGGTGGCTTCCTGGATGAGGATGGTTCTGTTATACAGAAAGCTATTCCAGGTGAATCCACCAAAGGGACAGTATGTTTAGTTGCAAAACAAAAGAGCAGCCATTAGGTGTGTGGCACTGTAGGATAAACACTGGACTGTGAACCATAGGGTCATCAGTTCAAACCCACCAAGTGCTCCTTGGAAACCCTATGCAGGATGGCTTTGAGTCAGAATCAACTTGACGGCACTTAACAACAGCAAGCACTCATGGACGAGTACCTTACTGAAGAAGAACATCTCCTGTTCTCCCGCTGTTGTTGTTGTTGTTGTTGTTGTTAAGTGCCATTGAGCCAGTTCTGAATCTTAGTGACCCTGTGTAAAATTTCCAAGGAGTGGCTGGTGAATTTGAACCACCCACCTATGGTTAGAAGTCTAGTGTTTATCCTGCAGTGCCCCAGCAGGACTCCAGATATTGTGAAGAGTAAACTTTTCACCTAGCCATTCAGAAAGAAAAACAAGGATCATTCTCTGCATCTCCTTGTTTACCAACCCACCCACCCCCACCATCCCATATTAAGAGTACACTTTTCACAACCCACTTCAAACATGGAACCACCAAAGCAAATATTGAACATGGAAAGGACTTCTAAGTCAAATGCAGTGGTGATCAAGGTTGAATCACACTGAAAACTTAAACCAAGCAAGCTTTCGGAGTCTGGAGATGTAACCATGTGGAAAATGTGTTTTTAAACTTCAGTGGTTATCATTTAGATCTGAAAGAAAGTCCAGTTTTTAAAAATTGAAGTCTTGGTATATATCCTAGAGAAATAAGAGCCACAACGTGAATAGATATATATACATACCCATGTTTGTCACAGCACTATTCATAGTAGCAATAAGATAGAAACAACAAAATGCTCATCAATGGAAGCAAACTTTGGTGCACACACACAATGGAAGGCTACACAATGTTAAAAAACAGCAATGAATCTGCAAAATGCCTCCTAACATGGATGAACCTGGATGACATTCTACTGAGTGAAATTAGCCAATCAGAAAAGGTCAAATATTGTATGAGACCACTACTGTAAAAAGTCAAGAAAATGTTTTAACACTAAAAGAAATATTCTTTGATGGTTACCAGGGGTGGGAGGGAAGGAGGACTTCTGGTGTGGCTCTGTGGGGTTAATGCTCTGGACCGCAAGGTTGGTTTGAACCACAAGGTGGCAGTTCAAGCTCACCAGCTGCTCCTTGGAAACCCTATTTAGGGTCTCTATATTTAGAGTCAGAGGAGTCCTGGTGTGGCTGTGGGCTAATTCGTCAGACTGCAAAGTCGTTTGAACTGCCAGGTCAGTGGTTCAAGCTCACCAGCTACTCCTTGGAAACCCTATACAGGGTCGCTATGGGTCAGAATCAACTCAACGGCACTTAAAAACAACAACATATGAGTCAGAAGGAGCTCTGATACTGCAGTGGTTACAAATAGGGCTGTGAACCTTAAGGTCAGCTGTTTGAAACTACCAGCTGCTCAGCAGGAGAAAGATGAGGCTTTCTGCTCCCATAAAGATATACAGCCTTGGAAACCCTATACAGGGTCGCTATGGGTCAACTGACTCAATGGCACTTAACAACAAGAACAACCTGACCAAATGATTGGAAATGATCCACATTTTTGCCCATTCCAAAGAATGGTGGCCCAGTGGAATGTAGAAATCATTTAACATTAATCATTAATATCATATGCAAATAAAATTATTCTGAAGGAAGATAATTCAAAAACCATTGCAGCAGTACATCAACAGGGAGCTGCCAGAAATTCAAGCAAGATTGAATTTCAAGAGGACATGAAACTAGGGACATCAGATGGATCTTGACTAAAAGCAGGGAATGTCAGAAAGGTATTGATTGTGTTTTATTGATTATGTAAAGGCATTCAACTATGTGGATCATACAAGCTATGGATAACATTACAAAGAATGGGAATTCCAGAACACTTAATTGTGCTCATTGAGGAACCTATACGTTGACCAAAAGACAGTCATTCAAACATAATAAGGGGATACTGTATGGTTTCATATCAGGAAAGGTGTGTATCTGTGTTGTGTCCTTTCACCATCCTTATTCAATCTATATGCCCAGTAAATCATTTGACAAGCTGGATTATATGAAGGTAAACATAACATGAGGGCTGGAGGAAGAGTCATTAATAACCTGTGATATACAAACAACACAACTTTGCTTGCTACAAGCAAAGAACTATTAAAGTACTTACTGAAAAAAAGATCAAAGACTATAACCTTCAGTATGGGTTGCACTTCAATGTAAAGAAAACAAAAACCCTCCCAAGTAGACCAATAAATAGCATCATGATAAACAAAGAAAAGGTTGAAATTGTCAAAGATTTCATTTTGCTTGGATCAATCAACACTTATGGAAGCAACAGTCAAGGAATCAAAGGATGTATTGCATTAGGCAAATCTGCTGCAAAATATATCTTTAAAATGTTAAACAGCAGAGATATAAGTTTGAGGACTAAGGTGCATCTGACTCAAACCATGATATTTTCAATGATTTCATACACATGTGAAAGTTGGACAATGAATAAGAAAGACCATAGAAGAATCAATGCATTTGTATTATGGTGTTGGTGAAGAATATTGTAAGAACCATGAAGTGCCAGAAGAACAAATAAATCTGTGTTGGAAGAAGCACAGCTAGAATGCTCCTTAGAATCAAGGATGGCAAGACTTCACCTCTTGTACTTTGGACGTATTGTTAGGAAAGGCACTCTCCAAAAAAGGACATCATGCTAGGTAAAAGGGAGGGTCTGCAAAAAAAGAGGAAGACCCTCAATGAGATGGACCTACATTGTGGCAGCAACGACGGGCTCAAGTATGAGGATGGTGCAGGACTAGACAGTGCATAGGGTCGCCATAAGTCAGAACTGATTCAACAGTACCTAACAAAAATAACATTTACCTTTGCTGTAAGTACATCCATAAATGTGGTGGAGCACACAGGGGGCAAAGTTATAAAAATGTCTTAAACATAACCAAACACCTTGAAGGAATGAGTTGTTGGACCTGGGGCTCAAGACCATAATCTAGGGGATATTATGGCCATTTGACATAGCATATTCCACAAAGACAATGTTTTGCATCCTAGTATGTTGAGTAGTGAGCAACTGGAGTCTTAAAAGCTATAAGTATAAAAATGAATAGTTTTCATCTTGTCTAGATGGGTCTGGTGAAGGGAGATAGGAATAGGATGCTTTTGATTCAACAGTGAGTAATTGTTATCATGACTGATTGCAATTTTCACAACTATAAAGGTTGTTGTTGTTGTTATGGCCGTGGAGTCAGTTCTGACTCATGGTGACCCTGTACAGGGTTTCTGAGGCTGTAAATCTTTACGGGAGCAGAAAGCCGTATCTTTCTCCCGCAGAACAGCTAGTAGTTTTGAACTGCTGTCCCTGGGGTTCGCAGCCCTATTCGTAACCACTACGCTATCAGAGCTCCTTAACTATAAAGGTAGAAGTTGTGTATCATAAGGTAGTTAATCTTACATTCCAGGAACAGAGGATCTTAGGACCATCAAGGGAGAAGAGCATGAGTGGAACATGGGACCATAACCAGAGAAGCAGCGACACCAAAGATGGAGGCAGAAATGAGGACATATATAGAGAGAGCAGCTGAAGACTCTAGACTCATGGAAAGAGAAAGACTGAATGCTGACGTCCAGGAGGTAGGCTTGCAGAATGTGCCCTTTGGTTGTTAAAATGATTATATATTCCTGAGTGTTTTTGTGTATATCAAAAAAAGGGGAGGGAATAGAAGTAAATACTGTTAAATGATGCATGGAGAGGACTGTAATCATTGCAATGAAACAAACAGAATTGGATGAGTGCAAAACCTATGTTCTCCCATGTATAACTATCACTCAATTCACAATAAAAAACTTAGTTTAAAAAAAAGCTATGAGTAACCATCTAGGGTGCAACTATTGGTCTCTCCCTATATGGAAAAAAGAAGAGTGATGAAAATCAAAGAATCATGAAAACAATTAGTCCATCAAACTAGTGGGCCACATGAACATCAATTTCCATGACTCTGAGACCAGAAGAACCAAATTGTGCCCGGCTACATCTACCAACCGCTCTGAAAGGGATCACATTAGAAGGTCCTGAATAGAGTGGGAGAAAATTGTGGAACACAATTCAAAATCATTAAACAAACAAACAAAAACAGACCAGGCCTACTAGTCAGATAGAGACTAGTGGAGCCCAAAGACTTCTATAACCCTTAGTCACCCTTCAGATCTGTAACTGAACTCACTCCAGTGACTCAATTTTCAGCCAAATGATCAATATAAGGGAAACAACAATACTAGTTGAGTTAACATACCTTAGAATAGTCAACCATTTGAGATCAAAAGGGCAGCGTTTACCCAAGATCAAAGCTCAGAACAGTTAGGAAGGAAGGAGGAATGGAAACATGAAACACAGGAAGGAAGTGGGATGGTGGTGGTAGTGATGTGTCATGGAGTCAGTTCCCACTCATAGCCACCCTGTACAGGATTTCCGAGGCTATACTGATCTTGAAATTCGCAGCCCGATTTGTAACCACTACACCACCAGAGTGTCATCATATTGAGGGGACTGCAATTTAAAAAACAAAAGAATTTAAGTCATCCACTTGTTTCCGATTTGACCGAGTATTTCCTAAGGTTCTATAGATTAGTAAGTGAGAGGTGAAGAAAAAGCATCATACTTTTAAGCAAATGGAATGCACAGTCTATAGTGTCTGTTTCTAAAACCACACAACACATAACCCCCTCCCGAATAACTTTCCTAGGCGCACTGTGTACTATATGAGTACGTATGCTAATTATTTCAGTGGGTGTATGATATGCAGAAAATACAATACAATTTTATCAACTTCATGGTTTCTACTTTTTTCTATAGACGAATCTTAAAGTGGAATCTCTAGTTCCAACTTTTCACCAGTTATAGAGGAATATTTACAACAACCTCATGAATGTCCACCTGAATGGCTAATCTAAAACTGAAGG